CCCCAAAACCCCAAAACCCCAAAACCCCAAAACCCCTCATTTAATATCAAGCATTGAAATTTACACAAATCTCTTAGTATTCGACTTTGATCTAGTCGACTGAATACTTGTAGCCCTATTATCTCTTCTTCTGTTATGAAAGAACCCTTTTGTATTGGTCACCTCTGACATCATCAATTTACTGTGGAGGTTTCCCATGCTAGATCTATGACCAAATGTCTGAGTCATAGGTCTTCCACTACCCATTGTTTGGAATAGAGACGGATTTTTATAAGGAATAGACATCTGGAAGTTTCCTTTACTATCTTTTAACTTAATTTTCTCCTTTATCTTATTTGCTTGGTATTTATATTTCATATCAGCCTTTGTGCTTTGCATTAGCTATTCAAAAGTTAGTTAGATGTACCTTAATCTCTTCAATAAGCTCTTCATCCGTTAGTTCCTCGATAGGTTTTTCAACATTTTGTGGCTAAATGTAAGCTATCCCATTTACCTTGATCTTGGCAAGAGGCTTGCCTCTTTCGTTAAGTAAGACTCCTTTCTTTTCTTTAAGGGTTCTCAAAAGCATGGGAAATTTATCTGCCATATTATTCATCATAGAATTGAAAGGAGCTTCATTCCATTCTTGAGTCTGTCGAGTGTTCATATCATACTGTAGCATCTGCTTTGCCTTGATTTTCATCTCTTGGTCAAAAATGGATGTGAAAATTTTGACGATCTCTACTTTAGCCCTTTCAATTTCTTGGTCTCTATGTTTCATAACTTTTTCATATTTTTCTTTCAGCGCTTCAAATTCTAGGTCTTTCTGATAAATCAAATCTACAAATGAGATTGGATAAGTACCTCTGTATTGGTTCTCAAATGCTTCTTTTTCCTTAAGTCTCTCTTGGATTTGCTTGAACTCTCTACAGGTTTAGCTAGGATTATACAGTTCTTTAGTCTTATCTTCCCCTAAAGAATATTAAGATATGAAATTACCTTCTTGAATTCCAGTTTCCCTGAAATCGTTGAACATGTTATCTAAAAATTGGTGGGGAATATACCTCCATGAGAATCTTTCTTGACTTGTCTTAAGAACTCATTATTATCAATATTATTCATGACAGATTTCATCTGTTTCATCATGTGAATATTATGTTTTTCAATCTGATTAAGCTCTCTCTGGTTATGCTCCATTTGGGCTACTGATAAAAACTTGTATTACCTTTAGTCTTATGCTCGAGGCTACTTAGCTTCTGCTCTTTCTCTTCTTTCATTTCTTCCAACTTCTTGTTCATAATAATCAACTGCTGGCTATAACTCTCTTGTAAGGTTTCTCTTTCCTTAGTTACATTAGAAAGTTCTTGTGTGAGAGAAGAAAGTTGAACCTCAAGGTCGTTATTCATGCGCATCAAAGAGTTAGCCTTATCCACCATTTCCTTATGTTTCTTGAGTTCCTTCATGTTAGTCTCGAGGTTGAAGTCCAGATTTAGGGCCTTTCCTATCTCCTTTAGCTTAAAAAATTGCTCTCTCTTTAGGTTTTCCAATTCAGCGTTCATTAAGATTTTTATTTCTATAATTATTTATAAAATGGGGTTTTGGGGTTTTGGGGTTTTGGGGTTTTGGGG